ACGTCTCTATAGAGTAATAAAGATATAATTCATTACTGGATCGGTCGAGTTACTTATCTGAACAGCTACCAAGTGAGATAAGACTATTCGATCTAATGGAAATACGCTTTATCATTCAAAGAGGTCGAAAACTAGAACTAAGTGACGATTGACGCATTCGAATGCGTACTTGCACCGGTCAATGAGTCTTGAGCATAAGCGTGCTACCACCGTCTGTTGAACAAGTATACGTCTACTATTATCATAGGTAGTCCCCCCCCCCCTCCTCGAATATTATTAGGTATCCGCCACCCCATGACTATTATTGATAGAAATGTACTCTTTTGACCATTATACAAGAATGTCAGACGTAATAACGTCAATGAGAATGGCGTGCTTTGAATGAGAGAATAAACACTCAATATTTCTCATACGATGTCTTGCAAATTTTTGTATCGACCAAGTTTACTTGAAGAGCTTAATGGGCACTCTGTGTATATACGATCAAGTACTATATCAAATACTGATGTATAGCAAGGTTAACCCTTCTGACCTGTATCACCAACGGAGGTAATCATTGTCGAAAATATTCATAGGCATATTCTCGACCCATGCTTGTTCGTACCCGGAGCTCTAATTTAAGCGCCAAGCCGACAAGCGTTAACAGAGAAAGTCTTGTTTTCACTTACTGTTTATCACACACAGACAAATCAAGTGGTTTTAAAGATTGGAAAGTTTCCTTTCCCGTCAGAATTGATATCTTCTTCATCGTATCATCCATTACGCATTCACTGAAATAAATAAATGTCCATTAATAGGTTTATGTGATGGTCTGAGAATCCGTGCGCCCACCCACGCGAATACAGTTATGTAATAATAATAATGATAATAATAATGATAATAATAATAACTTTATTGATCACCAGTTTGTTAACAAAAATCTTCCTTCGAGTCAATGGAACATATATACATTATAAACATCTTTTAGCAGTAAGTGGGATAAAGTAAAATGAAATATAATAAAGAAGCAGACGATATTCTCAAATAGTGAAATATACATTTATACAAAGATGGTATTAAACAAGGACAAACAAAAACACACGAGTTCTTATAATAATGGTAATATTACATAAGAATAAGATAACAAGGTACATCATGTTGAACATCTTATTATAATTCTGTCTTTAGCTTATTTCTTAATATATATAGCGATGGTGATAACCTGAAAGTAAGAGGAAATGAGTTCCATAAACTTCATGTATATTTAAAAGTCCTAGTCATAGTTCGAAGTTCGCTTTTATAATTTTGGGTCTGATTCAGAGCAAAGACAAAGATTTGTTGAAGAAACGTTAGATTTTAGGATTAAGTAATTTTTAAAAATAATCGGGACAAATGTCATGGATAATCAGAGGATAGTTTGAGAGACTGTGAATTAAAATTTAGTTTTTCTGACACCAATGAATCATCTTGCATCGATCGTTCTATAAGAGTTATATCTTTATTGGAATGATAAATTGTTGTATCTTCAGCAACAATTTCTGTGGTTGAATTATCAATAAGTAACGACAGGTCATTAATTAAAATAAGGAACAGAATTGGTTCTAAAATAGAACCTTGTGGTACACCACATTTAACAGTTGTTAGTTGTGACATAATATTACCAAAACAAACTCGCTGTTTTCAATCATATAAATAACTATGCTGTAGATCAATGAACTTTGGATGGAATTTATAAAGAGCTAACTTTTCAATTATTAAATTGTGGTCTATTAAATCAAATGTTTTGCTGAAATCTAAACTACACTTGTCATATCACCTGTATCTAATACTTCGAGCCAAGCGTCTGTTATTCTTATTAAGGCTGTACAGTAAGAGTGATGTTGGCGAACGCCTGATTGAAATTTCTAGAAAAGTCCACGTTTAGTGAATAGGTCCTTAATATTATTGGAAATATGTCTTTCAAATATTTTTGATATAGTCGGGAGAATTGATATTGGCCTGTAATTCGATGGAATTTTTCAAAAATATTTCTTGTGAATGGGTAAAACATTTTTAGATATACATAAAGTTATGATATACATGAAAGGAACAAATAAATTTTAAATACGGGGGTTTATCTAGGCCGATTGACTTGGATACATCTGATCTTTTTAAGGAAATGAAAACTGTCTCTATGGGGTTTTATTGAGGCAATTTTTCGGTAATTACTTTCTTGATCTTGCAAATATCCATCCATATTAACATGTAAATGTGATCTAAGTAATGGTGAAAAATGTAATGAGTAATACGTTGCATGAACTATTGTATAAGTTCAGTGAATATATGAAACAACTGCCATCAACATCTACCCAATACCCGAAGACCCCCCTCCCCTTTTTTCTCCAACCAAATCGAAGCTGTCATTTTATTATGAAACAGCTTGTATGGCCTCCAAGTGTCACAATGCTTATCGGACGTTTAACCTACATTCCAAGATTTCCAATTAATCAGTTTTTACAATGACAAGGCTGAGATTTAACGTCTGTCTGATTATTTTTTTTTAAGATAGCTAATTTCGGAGGTCGTTGAAAGCTCTACTTAACCCTCAATTCAAACATTATATGAATGAATAACACTTTCTCGGCCTGTGAGCGATGGCGTTGTTACTTCAGAAATGAGACTTGCCAGGCATATGGCCTCCAGTTTCAAATTTCCTATAATTGAAATACGATATGCCTGATGCTGTTTGTCCCTCTTAACAAATTTGTGGTCCCTACTTGGTCCTCGCCTTATTGAAAAGCCACTGCCTATGTATGTGTATCTGAACAGTTTCTGCTAGCACCATCCTGACTTCCCGTTGGACGTATATGGTTCCTGTAAATTTTCCATCGAGACCAATCTGATTTACAAGATTTTGATGTTCGTCTTGCAGATGGGTCAGCTAGTCATGTTACTATATATCACAAACAAACATTATAGCCAAATAATTTACTGCAATTTAGTATGATGGTATTTGCGACAGTGACGTTAAAATCAAAATATGATTTGAATTTCTGAAATAACGCGACCTACAGGCGAAAGACGGGTGTAACAGCTGGTAAAACTGAATTGCATAAATATATTTTGGTCTGAAAGCCTTCCTTGAATCGTTTAAAGGAGTAATCAGTATAAAGTGATACTGTCGTTTTCATAATTGCCTTACCAGTTGTCAGAATTTAATTTCATACCGTGTACACAATCTCATATAATGCAGTGTAGCAATGCAAGTGAAGAAAATACCCAGTGCAACTCGTTGAATGGTGAAAAATTGTTTAAATTCTGAAAAGTATTAATGCTGAAATCGAGCTCTATCAGCTGCTACAAAATATTGAGACGATAGTAAATCGATTAAAAGAAGGCTTTCGTGCCACAATATAAAAACTAACCTTTAACTAAAATTTAATATAAAAACATGTTATGCAACTCATACAAGGACTTTACATATAGCTTTCTGTAAAACTTGGTATAATCCTTCCATTCAGCGTCAATTTTATCTAATTTGAATATGCTAACAAAGATTTTATAACCAACTTGAAAAAAATTGCGAGCTTAGAAAATAGAAAAAAAATTAAAAGTGACAAAGCGTCTTTGTATTGTAGTCGTTATCAAAAGCCGAAATTATCATAACATACAAGTTGAGTTTTACGACTTAGTCTTCTGAAGTATGTGGTCTAATGAAGACGGTGAATGCATGGTGAAATGAGGGAAATTTTGCCATGACAGCGGCATTAACCCGCTCCTTTTTCGATTTCAAATTATCGAAGGTCTTTAACGTGCACAGCCTGTAGCACACGGGGCCTCGGTTTATTGTCCCCGAACGACGATTTATCCATGCCGACCCCTTTTACCTGTATCACTGCCAGGAGGAAACGGGGTTGAAAAAGCGAAGGTATTATCTTGGCCTATGCCGGGATTGAACCCAGTACCCTTAGGTATGCGAGCAAGCGTCTAACCCAATGAGCCACCGCGGCTCACGCTGCTCATCCAGATAGAGTCACTGAAGCTCTATGATTTAAAGCGCATTTAAAACATAATAGGTTTAAAAAAGCAATATTAAGAGTGAATTTTCATGCCAGAAGAATGTCAGAAAAACCGGACAAGAGCTAGTGTACATCGAAAATAAAGAGGGTGGGGTCCAAATTGTAGTTTGTGATCCTCCATCATATAATATATGCTATCCTGGATGTATGATCCAAAAGTCTTATTCTTACCTGCCTGATCGATGACACAATATCAGTTATTCCAAATTTACAGCAAGAACAGGTGCGATATCCCCACTAACTTATATAATGTGAAATTTTACCAGTCAATTACCGTTATATAATCATTCAAACTAAACCAATGCCTTAGAACGTTTTTGATTGGTTATAATACCAATCTAGTCTCGTGATGTAAATACATGTAGTAAACATAAAACATTCAGCTCTATTAAAGCTACAGATGCGGCATTTTTTTTTGGCGGGGGGGAGATTGGAAGGATCAAACTAGCGGCGTACATTATAACTGATAAGATTATCGGAACAATTCGCGTTTCGGAGACCAAGGTATGGTTTACTCCTGGAAATTCCTTTATAACAGATGAATTTTAATTAATTCTAAATGAATTCAACATTTATAGAGTATAATAATATCAATAATTATATCATTATTCTGCTCTTTATAAATGCTGAATTCTATATTACAGGCTTATGCAAAAAATTCTCAGTAAAAATGGGATCTCAGTAGTTCTTTACATTTATAAAACTTTAAAAGTAGGCATACATTGTTCTATTCTTTAAAGTGACAGATTCGTCATCCGTTTGACCAACAGCGCCGCAGTCGCAGATAGGCCTACGACTTTAGCTAAGCTAATCAGTAATAGTGGTCAAAGCTCACTGTTGCAATTTGAGCCCCATATCAAATCAAATTTACTCCCAATAATGGCCAACCTGTCCTTTAAAGAAAAAAAAAGAATATTTTACAAGGATTAGGTTTCAACTGAGTATCCAGTGTACCACCTTGTACTCCGCCAGATGAAAACCCAAGGCCAGTCACCATTTTGTATGACTTAAAGTACTGCGAAGTCGACGAACCATTTTGTGCATGGACAAACTCTTCGATGTATTATTACGTATGGGTCATACGCCTCGGATACGTGGGTCGTTAGTTGTTTTGAACCAATGCTGAACTTATCTCGGTACGATTTATTAAACGCATGTATAGATACCGTATAATGGAGTATAGTGCAGCTTATATAAATATCAGTTGTCAATATATGTTAACTGTATAGAACAAACATTCAAAGTAAGTTCTATGATCGCCTAGAACACGTCAAATACGTCTTTATACGTAAACTTACAATGGAAATAAGTTCGACATTGGTTCAAAGCACGTTAGTTCCTTTAATTACTAATTCCCCCCTTAACCCCTTAGAATGGATTCGAAAACAATTCGACGGTAGAATAGCTGGAATAAGCACGTGAGGGAGATAAAGGGGTTGTTATTTAACCCTAAAAATCATCATAACACAATCAAAAAATCATTTGAAGTATTTATTTGCTTACATCATATTCAATAGGGTCGTGGATAAAGTAGCGGAGAGAATTACACAGACGAAGTTATTAAACAGCCTTCTAATAATCTTTTCTTCAATTATCTGCATGTAAAAAAATTATTTCTAAACCAAAATTTCGTTATATTAAACCAGGCCCGTATGAACCGTATTAATAATGCTTAGACATAGGTGTCTAACTTTATAAAGTAGAGTTCAGATTAGTCAAACGTATAAAAGTAATCGTAAAATAGTACATAAACTAAAGTTATTTAATGCCTAGAAAATGCAACAATAGGTGATAAACTTTTAAAATATAAATCAGAAGTCTCATGGAACTAAGGCAGTTAACAAAAGTGAACAACACGGCAGTCCGTGGACATGTAAATAATTCCTTTTACCACATTTAGCGACATTTACATCCAATTTAAATGCAAACAATACTAATTGAATAAAAACTATTTCATCAATTTTAAACACCAACAGTTAATCAAACTGGTGTTTACGTCAATTTCGAATTTTGTATTTATTGAACTATGCCTTTTAATAAACGAAAGTCTATACAAAAACTGAAGGTCTTAGCCTTCTTTTGAATAAATCGTAGTAAACGTAAATGTAAAATTAAACCTTAACACCAACAAGAATAATATACAGTAAATATAAAATGCAGACAATAAGTTGAAGACTAGGAACTGTAGATATGTTTTTCAATGTATTCACTGAGTAAGGTATCTGGTGGTAAGAAATCATCATACAAATTTTCTATATGAGTTCTTCGAACACCTCCCCTGGTTTTGCCTGAAATGAAGGGTGTTAGGAATTAAATCAAGAAGTTTATCCAATAGCAGATATGAAGCAATAATGAGTGCAGCTACTTTATATATGTCATTGTAGAATTTTTGGATTCATAGCAGCTCTTACTGAAATGGGGCCTTGTTCTGTATCTGCATTACCAATAAAGGGGAGGAAAGTTGGGAATAAGACGACTTACTGCTTGAATGGAGGCATAAAAATTGGCAGAGATGATGAAGTAATAATCTTTCAAAGCTACATGTTATTTCTGATATGAACACAGAGTTAGGCCAATCTCGAAAAAACGTCATAATTTCATCTTCCAACTTTTCTAACAGGCCCTGAAAATGGTGAAAAAAATTTCAATTTCATAATTTTTTATCATATGGTGATACTAATATTTCCATCTAACTTTAATTTCTGTCTTAAGTTTCTTCGCCTCGATGCATTCTTTCAAATTATGAAATTTTAAAAGAGCACAAGCATTTGTGTAATGATTTGTACTCGAGTAAAATATTAGCCAAGGGAAATAACCTACCAATGGAATATGTCTTCTTCGTAATAATTTCTTAAAGCTGCTATGTAATCTTTGAAAGCTTTCTTCAGCAGTAAAAGCTGGGTGAACTACAATTACAAATTTGAATATCAAAAAGAAAATTCAACAGTGAATAAAACAATTAACAAAAACAAACATTAGGTTTTTACTTGTACTTTTAACATCAAAGAAAATTATTTTAGTGGATGGAAAACCATTGCTGCCTGGTTTGCTGCAAAGCATAGACAGTGCAAGCTACACGCATGGAAATTGAAAGAGAGGACTTATTGTCACTGGTATTCTAGCAAAATTTTTCTCATCCCACACTAGCCTACATGACTAAACATCAACTAATAATTACAGATATTCAAACATAATTTATACATTTAAAATCATTAAAAGAATTCTGCTTAACATTTGTATATAACCTATCTGAAAATTGGTATTTTAAAAGAAACAATATTACCTTTTCAGCAGACCATTACAGGCCATATTGGACATATGTTTATGTCCTTAACTAGGAGGATTTTACCCCAGATTTAGAGTGAGTTATCCAATATATTATCTCTTTATCATATCTCAAAGTTTACATTATTCATATTATCTCATGTTAAGTCTATTCTGATATCATGAAAGTCACAACCATAAAGACATGGTATGACATTTTCACAAGTCATTGCTGTTACCTTTTTGCTCAATGTATCTGTTAGAATACAGTATTTTTTATCAATCACACAAGCACTTAGTCTTCAACCTTGGCTGTATGAGCCCTTATGGAAACTATTTTTCTTAGATCATGTATTCTATGAAACACACAAGCATCTAGCCTTTACATCCTTTGAAGAGTTGATAAGAGCCTGTTTATATATTCAATCAATGTAGTGGAGTTCTTGTCCAACTTTTGTATTCACAACTGAGTATGAGTGGAATAGTAGAATATAATAAAGAGACTATATATTGGATGACTGGTACACTGGTTGATTTGTGACCTACCAACTCTTTTATCTGGTATTTCCTCCCATTCTTCATCATCCAACATCTCTTCCTTCTTCTCCTTCTTCTTTCTGTCCATATTTCCATTCACAAAATCATTCCAGATCTGTAAATAAAATCATTTTTTTAAAAAAATTGTTTGTCTGAAAAAAATATTCAACTACATGTACAGTATTTCAAAGGTTGCAGATTATAGGTCTGAAATGTGTAAATTTGTCACTTTATCACAGGTATAGATTGGAGCTTTTAAATCAGCACAAATATAGAAGGTTTTGAAAGCCTTAATATCTATAATTAGTTGATTACACGAAGAATGTTTTTCATATTTGTTAAGAAGATGAGCATGGAAGTAGCTCTTTGTCCTCTTCGCAATGCACAATGCAGTCGAAACAACTTGACATCACATTTGTTAATGTTAACAAATTTTTAGATTACCTTCATCTTTTCTTGATCCATAAACAATTGAGCAAAAGCTGAGACATGAGGATCCTTTAACGTAACAACATCGGTTTCTATCTCATCTCTATCCACCATGTTCAATATATACTGTACTGTAATATAACAGAATAATATCAATATATACTGTACTGTAATATAACACAATAATATCAATATATACTGTACTGTAATATATAACAATAATACTAATATATACTGTACTGTAATATATAACAATAATACTAATATATACTGTACTGTAATATATAACAATAATATCTATATATACTGTACTGTAATATATAACAATAATATCAATATATACTGTACTGTAATATATAACAATAATATCAATATATACTGTACTGTAATATATAACAATAATATCAATATATACTGTACTGTAATATATAACAATAATATCTATATATACTGTACTGTAATATATAACAATAATATCAATATATACTGTACTGTAATATATAACAATAATATCAATATATATTGTACTGTAATATATAACAATACTATCAATATATACTGTACTGTAATATATAACAATAATATCAATATATACTGTACTGTAATATATAACAATACTATCAATATATACTGTACTGTAATATATAACAATAATATCAATATATACTGTACTGTAATATATAACAATAATATCAATATATACTGTACTGTAATATATAACAATACTATCAATATATACTGTACTGTAATATATAACAATAATATCAATATATACTGTACTGTAATATATAACAATAATATCTATATATACTGTACTGTAATATATAACAATAAGATCTATATATACTGTACTGTAATATATAACAATAATATCTATATATACTGTACTGTAATATATCACAAATAATATCAATATATACTGTACTGTAATATATAACAATAATATCAATATATACTGTACTGTAATATATAACAATAATATCAATATATACTGTACTGTAATATATAACAATAATATCAATATATACTGTACTGTAATATATCACAAACAATATCAATATATACTGTACTGTAATATATAACAATAATATCAATATATACTGTACTGTAATATATAACAATAATATCAATATATACTGTACTGTAATATATAACAATAATATCAATATATACTGTACTGTAATATATAACAAATAATATCAATATATACTGTACTGTAATATATAACAATAATATCAATATATACTGTACTGTAATATATAACAATAATATCAATATATACTGTATTGTAAATATATAATAATAATATCAATATATACTGTACTGTAATATATAACAATAATATCAATATATACTGTATTGTAAATATATAATAATAATATCTATATATACTGTACTGTAATATATAACAATAATATCAATATATACTGTACTGTAATATATAACAATAATATCAATATATACTGTACTGTAATATATAACAAATAATATCAATATATACTGTACTGTAATATATCACAAATAATATCAATATATACTGTACTGTAATATATCACAAATAATATCAATATATACTGTACTGTAATATATAACAATAATATCAATATATACCGTACTGTAATATATAACAATAATATCAATATATACTGTACTGTAATATATAACAATAATATCAATATATACTGTACTGTAATATAACACAATAATATCAATATATATTGTGCTGTAATATATAACAATCATATCAATATATACTGTACTGTCATATATAACAATAATATCAATATATACTGTACTGTAATATATCACAAATAATATCAATATATACTGTACTGTAATATATAACAATAATATCTATATATACTGTATTGTAATGTATAACAATAATATCAATATATACTGTACTGTAATATATAACAATAATATCAATATATACTGTATTGTAAATATATAACAATATTATCTATATATATTGTACTGTAATATATAACAATAATATCAATATATACTGTACTGTAAATATATAACAATAATATCTATATATACTGTACTGTAATATATAACAATAATATCAATATATACTGTACTGTAATATATAACAATAATATCAATATATACTGTACTGTAAATATATAACAATAATATCTATACATACTGTACTGTAAATATATAACAATAATATCAATATATACTGTACTGTAATATATAACAATAATATCAATATATACTGTACTGTAAATATAAAACAAAAATATTAATGAATGTATACTGTACTGTAAATATATAACAATAATATCAATATATACTGTACTGTAATATTAACAATAATATCAATATATACTGTGCTGTAATATATAACAATAATATCAATATATACTGTACTGTAATATATAACAATAATATCAATATATACTGTACTGTAATATATAACAATAATATCAATATATACTGTACTATAATATATAACAATAATATCAATATATACTGTACTGTAAATATATAACAATAATACTAATATATAGACGCACTTGAGAAAAAAGATGAAAAACATGCAAGACATTATTCCACTTGTGGCAAAAGACTTGAAGGATTCTAAGAAAAAGTTTGTTCTCTTTAAATGCTTTATTCTATTAGCTATATTACTTACAGTTTTCTGTTCTTCTTGCTCTCCTTACACCAGGCTTTGGTTTAGACACTAATAATTTCTCATCAAATTTCTTATTTCGATTCCTTAAAGTCTTAGACCTTTTTCTGCTTAATTCTGAGAGGCTGCCCAGAACAATATCATCTTCAACATTCTCATTCTCGGGTAATCTAAAATATATATTGAAATCCATTATACCAAGGAACCAGCATTTATTTATTAAATACTACCATAATTATGATCTTGACTAATAAAATTGCAAAAGGTTGTGCAATTATACATGGAGAAGGTAAGGAATAGTACAAAAGAATAAAATTATTGTTTCTGTAAGACAGATATGAGCCAATTGATATATTAATATGTATTGTAATGTCGGTTCATTATTAATTCTATTAGATATATCTGTTTTAATCTGTATCAAACAAAAAGATTAATATCTTTATTATCTATATTATATAGTTTCGTTTTCTGTTTTCAGAAAGAAACAAAGTAATATTGTACGAAACCCCATTCTAAAAATAGTAACAATACTTTATGCCCTACTAATAACATTAATAGGCCACTTGTGTTAACACTAGCAACCAGAAATTCATTCAGATACAAATCAAAATAGTTTCAGTATCATTATCATTGAATTATTTTCAGAAAATTAACTTAGACCACTGCATACTATAGCCTAAAGGTTTCAGTGCAAATAGGTCAAATCAATAATAACCCTACTATGGCTATGGTGGTAATGTATCAGCTGTCAAAATCAAACGAAATGAACCGTCAAATTCTTACCCCAGATCATCTTCGATCAATCCCGAGAAAAAAAGATCGTCTGCATGCTTAATAACACCCATGATTACAATTAATAAACAGTTATTCACCAAAACAAACAATTAAAATAACAGAAGCGAGAGAAACACAAGTAACAGATAGAGGGATTTGCAGGTCAATGACGAAATGTCAGTTTCCGTCAAATTTATAACTGTTTGTTATAACAGAATAAAACGAAAATATAAAATATCTTTAATCTTTGCGACCTTTGAACTCGTGTGATATCTTACTTCATATTCATAAAAAAGAAAGATATAAGATCATTTGCAAATGTGAAAAAAATTACTCGATCAAAGTCTCTTATTGATCCGAAATGTTAAAATAACTGTAGACATGATCGCATGGTTTGTGACAGGATGTCTTACATCATTGACAGTATACATTGTAATTATTTTGTTATTTCTTGATACGACTGTAGAATACAACTATAATCAGGGACCATGGTTGTCAATGTTAATTCTGAAAGCTATCTACAGAATTCTAACCCGACGACAGGGTAAACTGTACTTGGCATCTGGAGATATTATAACCCAAGAGGAGAAAACTCTTATACCTGCTGATAAATCAGAAAGGGTGGTGTTCAAAAACTGTAGGTAAGTGAGAAATTAACACTTCAATACCATGCACTAAATCTAAATACCACAGTTGAATCCCCGTTTAGTCTTACCACTCTACCATACTACTCAAAAACACAGTCAGTTAGCAAAAGAGTAGAGAATCAACCAGTAGATTATTCAACCATAGCCTCTGGCACCCCCCAAACCCAAAAAGGAGTTTCGCTTCGCTTTTGATCCCCATTTTCTAGATACCGTTTTAGACATTAGAATTTACAGAGAAATTTAATGCATATTTTTGAATCAAAATATATTTATGTCACTGCCACTAGTCCTATCATAGCTTGATTAACATCTATAGGCTTTTATCAGCATTTTAGCAATGTCAGATATCTCCAACGCTTACATTGGCTGCCGTCACCCTTGGCGAAAAACCCATTGCAGGATTAATGATGATAAGGTAAAAGAATATACATGTAGTTAACTTTGTGGAGGGGCATATTCCATTATGTTAA